GATCCACATTATTTATGAACCTAGGACCCCCCCTCCCTTTACTTGTTTATTTTAAAAAGACTGCTTTTCTCAAATTTCAGCTTCTTTAATCTTTTTTTTAACTTCAATTACTTGCAGTAATTATGTGAAAACCCCTTCCCTTTACTTGTTTATTTTCAGAATTTCAAAGACTACTTTCTTCCCAAACTTCAGCTTCTTTAGTTTCTTTTAATTTCAATTGCTCGCAACCATTATGTGAAAACTTCCTCGTATTTGTAACTTCTTCTTGTTGTTTTCACTTAAAGTCACGATTATAGCATGGCCAGGAACCACAATAGTGGATCTTGAGGGGTGCCTAACACCTTCCCCTCGGAATAATTTCAAGCCCTTACCCAATCTCTGGTTTCTAAATCAAAATTCTTCTTAGTCTTCTAATGCACTTAATCATTAGGTGGTGACTCTTCAATTTAAACCCAATTCCCAAAAGGAAACGAGTTGTCCGCCCAAATGTCATAAACCCAATTTCGCGAGAAAAAGGGGGCATCGACAGTGAGTTGGAGTCAACTGCCCGAAGGAGCCTCCTGGTTCAACCTGATGCAACTGACTCTTCAGGTACCGGTTCCGCATTCTCGAGAACTGAAGAGGAACTTGAAGGGGCTGATGATGAAGGCCAAGGTTCCATGTCGGCGGCAGATCCGCCTACTTCTCCTGGGGGCGCAAACGTTTCTCTTCCCCCAAGTTCTGGGGACGCAGTAGTTTAGTTTTTTTCTAATTCATACTCTTGTACTTATGCTTCTTGGCACGTTTGTTATATAAAAGTGCTTTTTCGTTTAAGCATTGTGCAAATTTTACTTTTTTGCGTCGAGTTATGCAAGGCTTCAGGTGTATTTTTCTCCGATGGCATTTTTATTCCGGATATAAATTCTTCTGAAACCAACCCTTTACTATGAGGGTTTCATAATAGAGGGCCCTCTTATGTTTACGGTGCTCTTGAAGAGGACGTCTCCTGTTCATTCAGGCACTAGCATTTGAAGTACATGATTAACTTTAAAACGATAAAATTAATTCATTGTTTGGACAAGAAATAAGATAAAAATAAAAGAAATTTATTTATTGGTTTCATTTTCAAAAGTACATAAGCATTCGTTGTGCTGAAAAGAAATTGCCATTATTTGTGGCTAATTCGTGCAACTTGTTTCTACGGGGCAGGCCACGCAGGCCCCGGTCCGATGATACATCTTTGTTCCCAATTTTTCATAGTACTAGTTTGTCTGGCAATAATATTTCCTTATTCTCATATCATTCCCCCCCCCCCCCAAGTGTTCAAATGCGAAGAATGCGAATTGGAGCACTAGAAGTCTCGCTCCTTTGAAGATCCGACTAGTGAATGGTTGGATAATCTTTGGTCTGATAGCAAACTTCACTTCTCGTTAGGAACTTTACTATAAAGCCAAAGATTATCTAACCAACCCCCAGTGGCTTGCACTCGTGAATGGTCGAGTAACCTTTGGCCCGATAGAAAGCTTTAATTCTCGGTAGGAACTTTGCTACCGAGCAAAAGATTATCTAACCATCCCGTAGCGGTTCATTGTGAGCTTTTCGTTGCTTCCTCATTAAAAGTCTTGCAGAAAAACCTAATTGGGACAAAATCTAGACGAAGGGAAAAAGAGTATAGCACATACTTTAAGTATAAGTGGTATTCATCAGCAATAGTATCTTTTGAGGTGCGTTACATTCCAGTTGTTCGGCAATTTTACTCCGTCATGATTTTCCAGTTCATATGGTCCTTTCTTGGTGACAGCTGAAACCCGCTAGGGGCCTTTCCACGTTACCCAGCTTTCCTGCGTTGAGCTCTCGATTATTTTGAGTCACTTTCCTTAAAACCAAATCTCCCACTTTGAAATAGCGGAGATTGGCTCTTCGATTATAATATCTTTCCATTCTTTGTTTCTGGGCCGCCATCTTTATGTGCGCTAAGTCCCCGCGTTCGTCAAGCAGCTCCAATATAACCAGCAACGCTTCTTTGTTTGTTTCTTCGTCCGTCCGAAAGTATCTCAGGGTAGGTTCTCCCACTTCCACCAGGATCAATGCTTCTGCTCCGTATAAAAGAGTGAAAGGTGTCTCTCTCGTTCTTGATTTGGCCGTTGTCCGGTATGCCCATATCACTCCTGGTAACTCTTCGGGCCACTGGCCTTTGGCTGCTTCCAATCTTTTTCTGAGATTTTGAATGATCACCTTATTTATCGATTGCTCTTGGCCATTTGCACTCGGGTGGTACAGTGAAGATGTGATTCTTCTAACTTTCAAGTCTTCAAGGAATTTAGTGACCTTTGCACCTATAAATTGTGGCCCGTTGTTGCAATCTATCTCATTTGTTATCCCGACCCTGCAAATTATGTTCTCCCACAGGAAATCGACCACTTCGCGCTCGCCGATTTTCTAGTAAGGACCTGCTCAACCCACTTAGAGAAATAGTCAGTTAAAAGTAAAAGAAATCTTACCTTACCGGACCAGCGACAGCGGATTGACTATATCCATCCCCTATTTCATGAATGGCCAGGGAGACAATACCGAATGCACTAGTTCTACTGGTTGATGTACAAACAGCGCGTGGCATTGACACTTGTCATATTCATGAACAAATGTCTTAGTGTCTTGTTCCATCCGAAGCTAGTAGTAACTGCCCTAATTAGCTTTAATACCAGCGAGCTCGCACCCGAGTGATTTCCACAAATTACTTTGTGAACTTCTCTCATGACGTAATTAGCCTTGGAGGCTTCTAAACATCAGGCCAATGGGCCTTTCAAAGAGTTTCTATACAATTGGCATCCCCTGAAGAAGCAACAAGTTGCATTAGTGCGTAGTACCCGGGATTCCTTGGGATCTTCGGGTAGTTTTCCGTGCTCAAGATAGTCAATGATCTCATTTCTCCAGTCCCAAATGAAATTGGTCGCATTTACTTCATAATAGCCATCCACATCCAATACCGAATGCATAAGTTGTACGAGCGTACTGGATTCTGATCCCTTCATTTCCATGGACGAGCCTAGATTGGCCAGTGTGTCTGTTTCCATATTTTTTTCTCTCGGGATGTGCGTAATTGACCATTCCTTGAACCGTGCGAGCAGAGTCTGGACTTCTACTATATATTTTTGCATGCGTTCCTTTTTGGTGTCGAAGATCCCGTATACCTGATTTACTACTAGTTGGGAATCGCACTTGATTTATATGACCTTGGAGTCCAGTCCCTGGGCCAGCTAAGTCCTGCAATCAAAGCCTCATACTCATCTTCATTGTTAGTCAAGGGAACAATTCTTATGGCCTGCCTCATGGTTTCTTCCGAGGGCGTGATTAATACTACCTAGAGCCCGGACCCTTTCACATTGGAATCTCTGTCCGTGAACAAGGTCAAGACTCCTGATGTCGATTTCGACACCATCACTGCTTCTTTGGTGGCCAAGGTCAGCAGTCCAGGACTGAAATCGGCCACAAAGTCGGCCAAAACTTGTGACTTGATCGGAGTCCTAAGTTTATACTCTATGTCAAATTCACTCATTTCGACTGCCTATTTGGCTAGTCGAGCTGAAAGTTCAGGTTTGTGAAGGATATTCCGCAGGGGAAAGGTTGTCACCACGGCTATCTAGTGGCATTGAAAATAAGGCCTAAGCTTTCGAGCGGCGACTACAAGAGCTAAGCCCAATTTTTCAAGGTGTGCGTAGCGAGTTTCCGCTCCTATTAAAATTTTACTAACATAATAAATAGGAGATTTTGTACCTTCATCTTCACGGACTAAAACGGTATTTACCGCTACCTCTGAGACCGCTAAGTAAATTAGCAACTTTTTGCCTTCCTCCGGTTTAGATAATAACGGAGGGCTCAATAAATACCTTTTCAAATCTTTCAAAGCCTGTTGGCATTCCGGAGTTCATTCGAAGTTGTTCTTCTTTTCAGAAGTGAGAAGAAGTGATGGCATTTTTCTGCAGACCGGGAAATGAACCTGCTTAAAGCGGTCAATCTGCCTGTTAACCTCTGAACCTCTTTCACATTTGATAGTTGATCGGGAATGTCCTCAATGGCTTTAACTTAATCGGGATTGACTTCGATCCCCCTTTGTGACACCAGGAACCCCAACAAACGTACCGGAGTTGACTCTGAATGCACACTTTTCGGGGTTAAGCTTTATGTTGTGTTTTCTTAGGATGTCAAAGATTTCTTGGAGGTTTTTAAGATGATCACCTGCGTTCAAACACTTGACCAGCACATCATCTATGTAAACTTCCATTGTTTTCCCTATTTACTTTTCAAACAATTTGTTCACAAGCCTCTGATAAGTGGCTTCAGCGTTCTAAAGCCCGAAAGGCATCCCATTATAGCAATATGTGCCAAAGTTCGTTATGAATGAAGTATTTTCCTGATCCTCCAGGTTCATTTTGATTTGGTTGTACCCGGAATAGGAATCGATGAAACTCATCAACTCGTGCTCGATCGTCGCATCAATCATTTGATCAATGTTTGGCAATGGGAATGAGTATTTTGGGCACGCCTTATTCAGATCCTTATAATCTACGCACATGCAAAATTTATTATTCTTTTTTGGTACTACTACTATATTAGCCAGCCAGTCAGGATACATTACCTCCCGCTTTGAACCGATATCAAGCAATCGAGTTACCTCTTCTTTGACAAACATGTTTCTGAGCTCGTTGATTAAGAGTTTCTTCTGCCTTATCGGAGAGATGTTAGGATGTATGCTTACTTGTACACGGCCACCTCTAGTGGGATACATGTCATATCCGTATGCGACCATGCAAAACAATCAACATCAAATTTTAGAAATTCTATAAATCCTGACCCAAGTGGAATTTCCTCTCCAAGAATTTTTTGAACAATGCGACTTGTTCGAGTTCTTCCGCTGTGAATTTGGTTGCGTTTGTTTCTTCGGGTACCTGATAGGATTCTGATGACTCCCCTCCTTTGTCGACTTTATTTGGCTTGGGGGCAGGCGTCGGTCCCTGTAATTGCTATGCCGCATGTTCCTTCCCTTTGCTACTGGAAACCGAGATCGCATTCATCTCCCTTGTCGCCGATTGATCTCCTCTTATTTGCTTATTTCCCTCTAGAGTTGGGAATTTCAGACGTTGATGGTAAGCTAACAGCATATCCTTTATCTCATGTAGCCAAGGTCTTCCAAGAATAAGACTGTAGCTCATATAGCCATCTACTACTTCAAACAGGGTCGTCTTCATTACCCCTTCGGCATTCGTGGGTAGCAGAATCTCCCCTTGAGTTGTCACGCTTGCTAAGTTGAACCCGACGACGAGCTTTGTGGATGAATGATGCTTCCGGTTAGCTTGACTTATTCCAGCACTCTCCATTGGATAATATTGGGTGAACTTCCTGGGTCCACCAAAACACATTTAATTTTAAAATCTAAAACATTACGAAAATTACTAAGGAATCATTGTGTGGTAGCAGGAGTCCATCTGCGTCCTCCTCCGTAAAGGTGATATCGTCCTCGGCGACTTCTCGGAGTCTCTTGTTACGGGTCACCGATACCTTGTCTTTTTTGCTGCCGAAAAGGTTGCACCATTAATCTCGTTCCCTCAAAAATCATGTTGATCGTTAGACGAGGAGGATCTTCTCCTGCTTTCGAGGGTTCCGAATTATCCTAGTTGCGACTGTAGTTGTTCTTAGCCTGGTCGCTTAAGAACTCTCGGAGATAGCCATTTTTTAACAATGTCGCCACATCCCCGCGCAGATGTCGACAGTCCCTAGTCCGGTGGCCGTTAGTCCCATGATACTCATACCATAGATTAGGATCCCTCTGACTGGAGTCGGATCTTATCGGCCTCGGAACCGTGCTTCCTTAATGTTCCTCATCGGTTCCACTATGCTGACATTGAAGTTATACTCAGACAATCTAGGGTAGGTAGAATCCTGGGAGGACGATACCTCTTTGTCCTGCAACGATATCCCGGCCACAATCTGCTCTCCTATCGGTAGTGAACCTATCCGCGTACCGGAAACCTCTGTTGCATCCTTCGGTCCTTTCGTAGGGCAAAAATTGACCTCTAGAAGTCCGTCGATCTGTGTCGAAATCATCCTTCATCTTTTCCTTATTTTTCTCTCGGTCCCGACCCTTGGTTGATGCTGGGAACTGAGCTGGTCATCATATATTCTTAGCTTCGATTCATAGCGGTTGTTGACATCTACCCATGTTGTCGCATGGAACTCGAGCAGGCTTTCTTTCAATTTCCGGGAAGCGTCAGAGCTCATTGGATTCACCCTTTTAGTAAATGCCTTAGCTGCCCATTCGTCTGGCACGACTAATAGCAGCATCCTTTCCTTCTGAAATCTGGTCACGAACTCTTGCAGCAACTCGGACTCTCCTTGCGCAATTCTGAATATGTCGGCCATTCAGGCATGCACCTTCCTGGCCCCGGCATGGGCCTTGATAAAAAAAATTGCAAGCATCTCGAAGGAATCTATTGAGTGCTCCGGTAAAAATGAATACCATGTCAGGGCCACCTTCGTAAAGGTCTCTCCGAACTTCTTTAGCAAGATTGACTCAATCTCGTGCGGAGCTTAGTCGTTTCCTTTCACCGCCGTTGTATAGGTGGTGATGTGCTCCTGAGGATCCGAGGTCCCATCATATTTTGGCATGTCTGGCATTTTGAACCGCTTCGGGATTATCTCCGGTGCCGCGCTTGGTTTGAACGACAACTGGGTGTATTTCTTTGAGTCCAGTCCTTTCAACACTGGTGGTGCGCCTGATATTTGATCCATTCGGGCTTTTATTTCCATCATATACCGCATGAGTTCGATTTTAAAGGGATCATTCTCATTATTGTTACAAGATCCGCTGACGTTCCCCTCGGCCCTGTCGAAGCCGACCTCACCCATCGGGATGTTGTTATCAACCCTTTGTGGTGTTTGGTTTGCGGGAGCACGGGAGGAACTGGACCTCTTCCATTCGCGTTGTTGGAAGCACTCGATAACGCCTGCCTCAACTCTGTCATGACCTGATATTGTCGCGAGAGATGGCCCATAATAGCATTTTGTTGTTCCCTCAAGATTCTCATTGTTTTCGCAACGTGCTCGTCTTCAGCATCATCAAGAGTTGCCTCCCGAACATGTTGTGGATATTGCCCGCCATGTACCGGTGTGGCTTCATGCCCCTCGTTGCGGGTATCGCTGATCGAATCTTCGTGTTGAGGCTGATTTTCTTGGGGCTCAACGTTGTGCGTGATGTTGACATCATTATCTGCCATTTTTTACGACTTTTCGCTAAGAAACAAAGAATTAAATAGGTTAGTAATAGATGCAAGGATCAACTCAATTATGCAACTGTCTAAGCCCCACGATGGGCGCAAAACTGATTACCCATAAAACGGTACAGTTAAATTTGTGACGTGGTTTATAGACAAGCGAATCGATTTGATCCCAAAATAAAAAATAAATTAAATAAAATGCAAGACTTTGCGTTGAAATCGAGATAAGGAGCAGATAGCTTGGTTCCAGGAGCAGAGCTTCCGGAGGCAGTAATGCGAATATCAATAGACAAGAAATAAGATATTATTGAGCTTTTGAACAATACATAGCATAAGTTTGTGAGAAAATTCCTTTCCTTACAATGGCTATTGAAGTTACTATTTATAGTTGCACCTAGGGAACAAGATACTAGGATCAAGCTCCACTAATGACAATTATGGAGGGCCATTAAAGAATGTGTAACGGCAGGTTATGAATGCCAAATTCTCTATAACGGACTGTGTATTTTGATACTGCAGAATAATCTTCATTGAATGCTATCGGGTGGCAGACATTCATTTGTCTTCACTGGCAATATTCCCTCCGGGGGCTTTCCGATGCCAACCGAAATTGCTGCCTCTGGTCTTGATTTCCACCTGTCTCGCTTTCCTTCTGTCTCCGGTTCCACATATCGCTATATTACACGAGTATTTAATATAAACGATTTTACCCCGTACAAACTATTAAGTTCAGTTCTTTAATTTTCTTCTTGAAGCTATAAATAGAGTCTTTAAACTTATGAAATTTAGACCCTATATCTTTTGGATATTGATCTTTGATATGAAGTTAGTCTAATTTTTATGTTACAGATAAAAATACGGATTTCATAAACATTTCAAACTATCAATTTTGCAGGTATACCTTAAAGACATAAAACACTCATATATTCTGACTCTATCATATTTTTTATCATACACGCATCTTAAAATCGTAGGATACTATTTAATCGGACTCTAGAACGCTTTTCTAACAAAAAGATAAAAACAAAATTAGAAATTAAATCTAGTGAAAGAATTACTTTTTAATAATTCAATATATACAAAAAAACGCTTCGGATTAAGATGCAGTTATTGTTATTGTCCAATAAGAGTGCGTACATTTATAGCTAGTTGACTTGATACATATATTTGTTCAAAAATAAAAAGATAATGCGGGCACTAGGCTAATTGATTATGATTTTATTAACCATTGTAACATATTGTTCCTAACCAAGTTAATTAACAAGTAATTGAATACATAATCAAGGTATAAATCATGTAAATTCGGTTCCACAATAACAGAAATAATCCTCCGGAAATATCGAAAATTCTTTCTCTTTTTTCTTTTTTGTCAATTTCTTTATTCTTAAAGGAACACAATTAATTCTACAAGCCATGTTGCGAATACCATCAAAATAATTCCCTAAAGTCCAGAATTTTAGTAAATGGAAAAATTTAAATATAAACACTAGTAAAACATTCAGTAAATACATTAAAAGGGAAAGGAGTTACTCGATGACTAATAATTTACTTCGTATAAATGTTTTTTTATACGCAGAAATTCAGTATATTAAGAGGAATTAAATATAAAAAAAATGGTAATTTTGACTTCTTGAGCTACTTCACTGTGTAATATGCAGACATTATAACCTCTTTACAATCTTGGAGCTGAAATGTCCTGAAACTACAAAGTCATAGATATTTTAGTACTGATCAAATTATACAAAATAATCAAAATAATCAGAAGAGAAAAAGCAATTTTTCATGTGTAAGAAAATAATTTATGAAAAGTGTACAACCAGATAAAAATAATGAATTGCATCCACTCAAAACTCATTGCCTCTAAATCTTGAATGTTGTGTGCACATGTATATATGACATATGATAACTCTTATTGAAAGATAATATATGTATCTATGTGTGTGTGTAAAGAATCTATTTTTGCATGTACTCTTATAAGTATTTTACACTATTAAATAAAATTGACCTACAACAATATTTAGCTCTTTTTTTATTTAAACGAAAAATTCCCGAGGGATATTGGCTCATGATTCGAGACAACAAATAATAAACCCGCTGTTTTATTCATCTCTACTTAAATACCAAGTTTTTATCTGCAACGGGATTCAAACTCAGATGCCTTACTCGCACATCATGTTTTGTGCTCTTACTACTCGGTCAAAGCCCAGAGGAAGGGAAACAATAGCTCTTCATGTCAATTGTCAAGCAATATATGGTAAACTGGTAGCAGGGGTGGAGCTAGGGTGGTGGAAGGAGTCCGAACCCCCTTTGCTATTATACTGTATATATAAGATCAAAATTATTTTTATGCATAAATAGTAAATGTTGAATTCCCATGACTTTTTGTGTGTTTACTTTTTAATATTTCGAAACCCCTTGGTAAAAGTTCTGACTCCGCCATTGCCTGAAAGATAAAGTGAGAACCTAATACAACATGTTAAATTTTTCCCTTAATATAAGTATTTATTATATTGTCAGTGTATATGACTTAATCCCATTTGTTATACCTTGTGTAATTTTATATAAGCTATGTGTTTGCTGTCACACCTCCTTTTTTCTTACTACACCCACGTAAGGGGTATAATAAAGGAGTTTTTCCACTTAAAAGACAATCGGAACGGGATTTATTATTAAGATTTCAGAGTCGCCACTTGGGAGATTAATGGTGTCCCAAGTCACCGGTTGAATCCCGAACCGAGGAAATTATTGACTCTGTTAACAGTCCGCGAACCAGAAATCTGGATAAGGAATTCTGTTAACCCGGGAGAAGGTATTATGCATTCCCGGGTTCCGTGGTTCTAGCACGGTCGCTCTACTGTTGTATTTGATTTTATCTGATTTCCAAAACATGTTCTAGCTTATGTGCTTTTTATTCGTACCCTGCTTTTATTTTTATTTTAATAAGAATTGCAACGTTGTGAAAATGCGTTTCGAACCACGTCGCACCAGTGCACCCGTGGTTGTCAACACATTTCGACTCCGTTGAGATTTGGATTTGGGTCACATAAATGTGCACCCGAGTTTTAGGAAGGTAATTTTTATTAGAACTGTGCCTAAAGAGACTA